ACTTAGCCCTAATACTTAAGGGACACATGAACTTCTACAATAAAATATTCATAACATCTCTATAAATCACATATTTTTTTATTCTGTGATGTTTTAATGCTTGCATGTTTAAATAAGTGTTAACAATCTAATGTGTTTCGGTCTATTTAAAAAAAAAACGAACTAAAAACGCTCAAAATATGGTTCCCACATATTTGTTTTACATATAAAGAAGTAGTAAATTAACTATGTAAAAACCCGTGAAAATCCCTCTTAAACGTTTGTTGTTGTTGTATTTTTGTTCTAGTTTTTTTTTTAAAGTACTTACGAAAAACGTGTATTAGAAACCTCCTGACCAAAATTAAAGTATCTACATAATATATAACTGATTATACCTTTACCACTCATCCTTTCTATTTGTTAATCATTATACATGTATCTAATGGCCTAGTATCCTTTATTAATGTGTGGCACATTTCTTATTTGTTACTGTACACTACTGTACACTGTACATGATGAAGTGAAACTGCTTTGATAAAAAATTATGGTAATCCCAAAATATCATGGTAATCCCATGGTAATCCATAAAATCATGCCTTAGATCGTACTTAGATTACAAATTAATTTTTGAAATCGCTACACCTTAAAAATGTATACACAAAAACCGTATTTAGCCTTGAAATGCTAAAGCCTATATACGTAAATATATATATAACGCACTCATTATTCTAAAATAACTTTTCAATACTTATCGTTTGTTCACTAACGTCAAACACAAACACTTATTATATATGATTTTTTTTATTGATTTTACATCTAAAATTTTAATGCCCTACAAATGTATTAGTTTTATTCTCTAGTTAACAGCACGAAAAGTGTCCAGTGAATACACTCGGAAAATACACGAAAGAAAACTTTTTCCAAATTGGTAATGATTTGTCTGAATGTATGTGCAGTTTTAATCAAAAGGGGGTCCAATAACTTTCTGTATCTATTCATGCTTATAATAAAAGCTATCCATCAAATGAATCAAATATGGACAGTCCTTTCTTCTTGGAGGGATAATAAAGATATATATATTTTTTACATTCACTCTGCTTGTTGCGAAGAAAAAGATCAAGCAATGAGTTGTTACTGTTTTTACTGGTTTTAATGCGAAACGTTTGTTGTCATTCTGTTATGCCCATCAAATACATATATATCTATAAATATTTACTCAATAAATCCCAAAACAAAGCAATTGTTATGCTAAGAACAAAGTACAGATATTCGTAAATATGTTTTCCCCCGTCAAATAACACCGATATCATAATTACGTAATAACAGTAAAATATGTTTTTATAATTTGTTCAAATTAACTTGAAACTTAATTGAAATGGTTAGATAATAGTCCATAACTTAAGTACGAGCAAGTAAACATTTTCTGAAAGTTAAGTTTGAATTACGGTTGTTCGTTTCGCATCAACTGAATACTAGAACCTAAATCTGAATTAGTCTTGCCAACTAAATGCAACGTTCTCAGTTTGATCCTTAAGTTGTAGAATGATTGATATGAATAATCAGATGGTGGAATCAGTTCTGTTCGTACTAAGTCTCCTGATGGGTCAACGATAAGTTTACGAACTTACAACACTAAAATCCATGGTTTGATTCCCCGTGGTGGGAAAAGCGCGGATAGCTCGTTGTGTAATTTGTGCTACAAAAGCACAAGCTGGTAATATTATGTCCTCACTAGTGAATCAGCGGTAACTTTATGGGCTTAATGCTAAAATCCGGAGTACGATTCCTCGAGGTGGAAAGAGCGCAGATAGCCCGTTGTTTAGCTTTTCGCTAAAAATAAACGTATTACTTACTATATAATGCCCACCAGAGGCACAGTGGTATTTCTGCGGACTTACAACTCTAGAAACCGCGTTTCGATACCCGTGGTGGCCAGAGCACAGATAGCCCATTGTGTAGCTTTGTGCTTAACTTCAAACAAACAGAAAAAAAAAGACTATATATTAAAACTGTTCATGTTACTATGCAAGAACAGGTCAATTTATAAGTACTATTTAAAGCTTTACTTGGACGGAAAAATATACAATAATTCCTAAAATAATCATTATAATAAAAATGTTAATATTATTAAAACATTAAGTGAACAAAACCAGAGTTACCTTGCACATTAAATAATAACAGGAGTTATCTCTAAATATACTATCGCCTTAACGTAGCGAAAAGGATTGATATTTTATGTTCTACAGTTAAGCCACGTTTTTATAATAACGTGAAGAAACTTCGCATCGCTAAACGTCCCTTGTTACATTGTTCGCGTCTTTGTGTTTGTTTTGCGTCTGGGAAACGTTTCGAAATATGCTCTAAAAACCACATTTTCGATGGTTATAAGCGTTTTCTTAAGAAACTTAACCGTTTACTATCATGACTTAAATTCCAGAATATCTAGACCTTGCAGATATGCGTTGAAGACATTTGAAAACAAGAAACATGCAATATATATATATATATAGTTTTTATGTTTCTAGGCCTTTACACGCTATCAAAATACATTGACCATTTACTATTGGACTTTTTTAATGATTTTCGACACATCTGTTGTATCTAAATGTTACAAACATGAAGGGTATGAATATATCCAAAACCAAAAATTAACTTTCTTCAAACGTATTATCTGTAATATCATTAGCAAAGTGATATTCATAGTGATATACTTTAAGTTACAGAAGAAGACACACTTTGTAGCAGAACCATACATGGTTCAATAGTCTATCATGTAGCCCTGGTACTAGGATATATTTACTCTCCATCCAGAGTATAAGAATAACAAAATATCTACAGTCCAGTAGATATAAAAGTTTGTTTGTTTGCAATTATGCACGAAGCTACACAATGGGCTGTCTGTGCTCTGCCCACCACGGGTATCGAAACCCGGTTTCTAGCGTTGTAAGTCCGCAGACATACCGCTGTGCCATTGGGGAGCGAAATATAAAAGTAAAAATCCGTTATGGTTCAAACAAAACAATCCCTAAATCAAAACTGGTAACAGAAAATAATCTTGTTGTTTCAATCCTGTCTTGTTTTTTTATCTGAAAAATATTTATACGGTTCCTTGATATGGAACGTATAATCTCAAATAAAGGAGAGAAATTTAACATTTCCAAAACTTCCTCATTAACGTATTTATTCTGTGGGCAGGTTTTAGTAAAATGATAGTTAAGACATCGTTATAAACTTTTATAACCATGAAACTGGGTTATAAGAGTCGATGGTAAAATAGACTTTCATAATGCCCTTTTGTGACTTACAAATCCGTTCCCGTCATTAAAAGAGCGAGCTTAGAAATAATATTATACATTTCAGTTAGTCATGTTTCTCAGTAATTATTTTACAGCTTGAAAAACAATGAAAATCACTCGAGAGAACGCATTGAACAATAAGTTGACCGTTGATTTACAATGTTATATATTTTTTTTACCTTTAGTAAAACCACAGCCAAAAATAAAATAGTTTATTTGGCAAGATTTATCACTCTATACATGCTGACAAGTTAATTACTATGTGTAGAATTTACTATTTCATTATGAGTTACGTTAATGAAGAGTTGAAGGAGAATATTATGGAATACTTGAACTTGGCTTATGTTGTGACGGAAAAGCTTATGTGAACTATATCTACCAATTAATTATAATCCTTTCAATATGTTAACATAGGTAGTTGTTCCCTATGCAACAAGCGAGAAACAACAAGCATAGGCATACAAACTTTGTCAGATTGGAGTGGTTCTCTATAGAACAAATACAATAGTTTCTATATCTACCAGTATTTTCAGTTTAGAATCTGGTTTCTTCAATTCCAAATAAACTAAAAAGAAGAATTACCATAGACATTAATTGTTTATTAGATATACAAAACGCTTTCTGTAACATGTTCGTCTTTTCAACTTTGTCAGATTGGAGTGGTTCTCTATAGAACAAATACAATAGTTTCTATATCTACCAGTATTTTCAGTTTAGAATCTGGTTTCTTCAATTCCAAATAAACTAAAAAGAAGAATTACCATATACGTTAATTGTTTATTAGATATACAAAACGCTTTCTGTAACATGTTCGTCTTTTCATGTTTTATACATAAAGTAAAGCAACAGTATTTGATATGTCTCTTTAAATTGTGCAACTGGTTATACATAAACTCTCTCTCTCTCTCAACTAAAACACATTATAACCACAAATATTATTACCGATAATTTTATAGTGGGTGTTATATGATTTACCACACTTACTTCAACTACCATTCAAAATCACTTAACACTTAATCACTTAACATATTTAACCGTTAACCGTTGATAAAATGACCAAAGTCAAACATAAAACAGGTACTAGGAAACCACACCTAAATATAACTGTTAGTTGAAACCTTAAAGTTGGAGCACGTCATTGCTATTCACAAGTGCCCGCCAGTGCTTCAACAGTCAGCCGGTTCATCAACTTTTTTTTTTTTTTTTGACAACATTGGCGTAGCATTACGAGTTGAAGGTAAAAATGATGTGATTTAGAAACTTAAAACGTTTGCGATGTTGAAGAAATTGTGGATTCTGATGAAGAAGTACAACTAATCAGCGATAAGGAAATGTATTAACTTTCAGTTGTTGCCGAGGAAATATAAAATTGATGAGATGGATTTGAGAATCTTATGCCAGATAATAACACTGTTTGCTTGCGTGTGGACTCTAAACGCAGGTAAGAAATTCGTTAAAGTTTTAAGTTGTATGCCACATGGGATTTTGATTAT